TAAAAAAATTACGAAATTATTACAATCATCACCATTATTATCACCACCACAATCATTATTACTTTTATCATAAACATCATTTTCGTGAGTTACTTTACTAACTTATGACGATGCCCAAAATGTGTTTTCTAGCCTAGCCCAGCTACGAACGTAAGCATCTTAGTAAGACCACCACATCAACATCCCTACGCATCCGAGTGAATTGTTTTCCTTTCTAAATTAATCTGGTAACTACATGTCTTCTCAATACTACCAACAAATATATGTGGGCGTATTTTCAGAATCTCTCCAAAAAATTTAAGTGTGGTCATTAAATATTTATAACATAGAATGGATCTCATTTCTTTCAAGTCTTAAAATCCTTCAGTTACGAGAAAAGTCTCGTACACTTTAAGTAGTTCGGTAAGGGGAGATACTGAAATCCAGTGCAACGTTGGGCTTTTTTTTTAATTCTTAAGTATTTTGCAGATTATATAATGACAACAAAACCTTATATATATAACTGAAAGAAAACTGGCATTCACCCAGATGCCCCGTCCCACCACACGTGTCCGATTTCTTCTTCTTTAAATAACAAGGTTTGCTAGACTCAAAGCATTTTAACATTTTTCTTCCGTCCACACATATGACGGTTTCTGCTCACTGGGTTTTTCCATCGAGAACACTTTTCACAGTGTTCCGCCAACTTTTTCACCCACAAAACACCCTGATTTGTCTAATACACATGGCGGCACATCACAAAATATCGCCTCGCGAAAAGTGGGTTCAAAACTATACATATAAATACTTGAGCCACAAGAAAGTAGATTAAAGAAAACAAAACATTACAATTTTCGATACAACCGTCGATGACAAAAGATCAGAATTGCATTTTTCTAACCATAACGTGAGAACATCCAATTTCTTAAAAGAAATCTTTAGCACACCAGTTTTACGTAAGACTATTCTAGTCGACTATTATGACTAACGTTTATTCGAAATAAATATCTTCAATCTAATGTAAATAGCCCAGCAGCATCTTAAACCATGCAAATGTCTCCCCACATGCACTGCTCTTAACCATTAAAGGTGAGCTTGGGTAGGTCTCTCCTGACAGGGGCAGGAATTCTTTACTTCGCTACTCCATTCTGACCAACCCTAGGGCTAAGATAGCTTCATTATTTATAGAAAACATTCCTCCGGGGTTCGGGGATAAATCGGACGAAGCGTGAAACTAGCCATTGACTTCCGCCTAATTCAGATATCTAGACTGCCTTTTTTTACCAGAATAGCCATTATTCGATCCACATTACTTAACTCAGCTTAAGTAGCTCACTTAACGAGAAAGCCATGAGTAAGTATGACATTCTGTTCTAATGCAAGATTTACCATAATTCTTGCAATCGTATTATATTACCTTGTGTTCAGAAATCTAAATCGGAACTTCGCAGTACTGCAGGCTTTTAATAACAGCCACAAAACGAACAGCTGTATGTTTATGGGCGTAGGGAAACTGCCTTCACAGCTTGAAAAGGCAGCTTTTGTGTAACAGGACCTAATGTAATTTCTTTCATAACCTGAAATACGTATTATTTTTAACCATTCGTTGGTGATTTTTCATATCCATTTGATACCTGCTCTGTTACTGAAAGCAATAAAATATGCAACAAATAATAATTCTGTATTTAATTAAACCTGCTTCATCGTGACTCATCGTCATGTTAATGGAGACAGTAAGCTCCTCTGAAACGTCGAACATCTGCCAGACTACACGGTGCATAATCACAGAAAGCAGCCATCTTCCTATACATAAAAGTAGCGAAGGAACATAACATATACTTGAAAAATAAATGAACACAGAACCCCTTTTAAAATCACAGATAATTAAAAGCAACGATTTATAGTGGTACCCATAATGTTCGAAAAAATGTTCATAGTTTAAAAATTGAATTTAACAGACTGCGTTGCTGATTTGAAAATTTTATTTCAACACATTTCACTCTTTTGTTATGAGTCAGTTCAGCTCAGACTGCTATCCCTCGCGTTAGTTCAGTTTCAATTTAATATTTGCATTTCGTGTTCTCTCATAAAATTCATAGTTGTAGAGCCAAATGTATTTCTCACTGAAGCGAACAAAAGATGGCTTCAGATCAAGGATTTCGATAAGTTGAATGGCCTTTCTATTTTAAAAACAGGCGACAAAGACGTAAGGTGGGATGACAGCATGACATCACGACCCGTAGAAGTTAGTTGCTCACATTTCTACAAGCTCAAATTCGTAACCGTTGCTTTACGCCAAGATTGCCTGCCTTCATGCCTCAATCAATTTTGGAGGGGGTGGACTTAATATGTCCGTGTTCCCCAGGAGGTTGCTGGCCTGTTTGAGGATCTCACGGTAGTGACGATAACGACGTTGTTCTGCGTTGTGACGCCGTGTAGACTCGTAGGGCTGAAGATGGAGACAGCATGATTATCCTAAACGTTAACACGGTAATGAAAATGAAATTTCGTGTTTTATAAAATCTGAGAATTTCTTGGCATGCTGAGAATCAGTCTTTCAAGAAAGCTTAGCAGGTAAACTGCAAAGTCGTTAAAGAATATGTCAAGAAATAAAGTCTATACCAGAAAACAAAGAACGTTCATGTTTTCATGTCATTTCTGTAGGCCTATTTATATAATTCTGACAATTTTATGGTTTTCTGCTGGGTTGTATCACCCTGATGATGGCGGCATCAAACATCTCTGAACACCAGTAAACTTCTACCACAATACACTGCACAAAAACTCAGAATACAGCCATCTTCGGTGTACTAGTTGAAACCTGATTCAAATCTCGGCCCACAATACACTGCACAAAAACTCAGAAGACAGCCACCTTCGGTGTACTAGTTAGAACCTGATTCAAATCTCGGATATCATGACAGATTTTCCTCAGTCTCTCCAATAAAATGTTAAATACACAGACTACGACAGCCTGTTACCTCATCATATTATTAAAGTACCAGTCGACTCTTGTAACAATTAGACAGCGTGTTATTAATTATCAGCCAAACCAACAGAAACGAATTCTGAGAAACAGTGCAAAGCTGTTTTCGTCCAAATCTTAGAATTTCAAGAAGGCGACCAGACCGTTTCAAAGCTTTGTGCAGTTTGGTTAGCCTTCGAACAAAGATTGCAAAAGATTCCAGGCTTTTCTCACGAGCTTTCAACTGCCAACTGCAAAGTTAATTATTATAAATGTTCAAAAGTTATATAACTTTTTGCATAATGCCATCGTATTTCTTGTTTTACTGCCAGAATCGAGTTTCTTATTAATAAACCATTCTCTAATGACGTATTCGTGCCAACAATCAGGCAGTATCTTTGAACAGTGCCGTAATTTTAGTCTAATATCTCTTTTATAAAAATACTGAAGCTTTTTGTATTAACACGTCGTGAGTAATGGAAGGAGATATAACTCTACATTAGAAACGATTTCGTATGAACCCATTTACCCAGGGTAATAAATTAGGGATGTTGTAATTGGATTTAAAAATGCTCGCTGAAACTAGTTCTTTTACAAAAGCGATTTCTAAAATCGAATATACCGACTCGTTGGCGTCTGTTAAAGGAATGTCATTAACAACATATATGATTATAATAAACGCAAATACGGCTTTTCTGTATGTTTAAATTTATCAATAATAATTTTAAACTATAAAAAACTTTAATCACTACATGCATTAAATCACGAAAGTAAGACGAAAAGTGACAAGAACATTTTCCGTGTCCTTAAAAGCAACCCTGTTTCTTATTGCCAAGTTTTAATTTATCAGCAGATATTATCCTCACTTCGTATTTTGAAAGGACCAGCAGTTTTCGAAACTTGCGGTCTGAAATAAATGGCAGCTCTGCGCTCGCTAAAACAACATGGCGGCTGACAAAAATAGACAGCTAATTCTAGAAGTATGTTTCTCCACAGAAATAAATGGCAGAGCTGAGCGATCACGGCGATTAAATGAAACCTGCTTATATAACAGACTGAACAGTATAGTGATGTGAAAACTGACGTTTCAGGACTCTGAAACACGACGAGAATTATGGAATAACCATTTCACATCAAACGAATACCGATTTTCATGAAAACTCTTCTACATTAGGTTGATTCCATTCTGTTAAGTAACAGCAGAGAAACAACTTTGTTGGAACAGCATTTACTTCGAAAAAGACTGGTGTAATATCCCGCATAGTGTAAGATGACGTTTCACATAAAGATATTTCTGTATGCACTCAAGGGAAAGTTAATAATTATAAGTATCCAGTAAAATGAATTAATAAATGATAGCATTAATCATAATACCAGTTTCACGTTAAGACTGATTACAGCAAGAGTCTCTCTTAGCCTCTTTGTCGAAGGAGTCTCAAACTGATAAACACCACTTTTATCGTGCCGTTCATACAGACTCCTAACATGGAGACAGCTGTAGGGCGCCAGATCTATACACGAACAGTACCCAGTTCGAATATCGATCGAGTTACTAAGCGTTTCTGTGGTGTTTCTCACAATGCCCAGAACCTTGAAATATGCTAAGGTCACTTCTTCCAAATCCCTTCTCATTTAACATTCACTATCCTTCACTCTCATTCTACGCTCAATGAATTATTCAGATGAAACATCGTCGTTAATCTATTTAAGCCGAAGTTTGTCTAAATATTATTCACGGATTCAGTCCGTACCGCAAAGGAAACGCAACACTTCACCTTTATAAAGATCAAATAGTTGTCACTGATTTTTAAAGCGTTGAATACCCAAATAATCAGTAAGTATCTTTTAGATTCCACGCAAACGTATTGTCTCTTCATCAATTCACGACACTGTTACCCCCAACTCTGCCAAAGTCTACTCAAAGGCATACATATATGCATATGTATCTATGTACACGCAGGCCAACATACACGTATGTACATACGTATATTACATGCGTGCATTTTTACGTACGTGCATTACATTTTATTCACACACACACAAATTAAATACTTACAATAAGTGTACCTCCCGTTCCTACACGCTGCCTCAAACACTACTGACCTTCACTGCGTATCCAGAAATGTTAGCTCTGACTTCAATCTTGTTTTCGTTTGGAACATGGCATTGGCATGAATCCAGCGCTGCACCCCAGAGACCACAATGAATTTACTCATCAGGGCCCCTTTTCATTGTAAGATGCGTCCATAAAGTATTCGAAACAATTATAAATCCTAGACGAGTAATTCTAGTTTAGTCGGTAATGTCGAAGAATATCCAACTGAATAGAGATCAAAAAAAATTGCCTTAACTCTGAAGATGGATGTCATACGTTCTTCCGAAACGTTGGTAAGCACCTACAACACCACAAACCGTCAGAATCGGAATTTGGCTTTCAATTAAAGTTCATCACGGTATTTTTTTTCGTTTTCTACTCTTAAAAGTTTTAAACCTTTTCAGTCCCTGATTCAATACACTCCCATTTTACGCTCAAATTGTTATTGACAAACAAAATTTGTTTCGTTCAGGCCAAATTAAACCAAAATCCAGTGCCACAATCCATTTTGAAACAAAAAGAAACTATCACATGTATTTCTGGATATAAAATAAGTGTTGTGATATTTATGAGAAATATGTGTGTTAAAAACACAGAGACGTAGAAGTGTCTTGTAATAAGTGATAGAATACTACATAACTCTTGCAAAAATAATTTCTGGCAAGTA